GTGTTCCAGACAGAAGACACTTTTAACAAAACCACTTTCTGAAAATACTTAAAACTTTTTTAAGCACTGCAGCCCATTTCTTTTAGTGGATTCTTTTTTTTTTAATATTTTATTTTTATTTCATGTGTATGAGCTTATTGCCTACATGTATGTGCACACGTCATGCAATGCCCGCGGAGGACAGAAGAGGCCAACGGATACCCTGTAACTGGAGTCTGGAGTTACAGACAGTTGTTAGCTGCCATGTGGGTGCTGGGATTTGAACCTGGGTCTTCTGCAAGAACAACCGGTGTTCTTAACCACTGAGCCATCTCTCCAAGCCCCCTGCTGGATTCTTTAATGCTATTTATTACACTTGAAATACAAAGAAGCTGAGATTAGGCCTCCTGGGTGTCCTGCTTTCTTCCTACCAAATAGCAGGAGTAACACAAACAGCTTCTAGGCCATTGTGATTCTGTGTGCAGCTGCTGAGGAAAGGGGCCTTTACCCCAGCACTCTCTGGCAGCCCACCTTGGGGGGCTCACAGCTCCAGAAAGGAGCCACTGCGTGGACTCTGAAATCACCATCTATAGGATGCACTGAAAGTTTGCCTATAAAGTTTTAAGCAACACTGCCATGTACTGTTAAACAATATGTAAATTCAGCTATCAAGAAATACTTTTCTGGGGGAGAGGGGATATGTTTGGGATATAGGTCAGTTGGTACAAGTTTGAGCCCCCCCCACCCCCCAGTACAAGTGGGCCTGGTGGTATAGGACTGTGACCCCAGCACTGGGAAGGTAGAGGTAGGAGAATCAAAAGTTCAAGGTCATTCTCAGCTATATAGGAAATTCAAGCCAAGCCTGGAATGCCTGAGACCCTGTTGGAAAGACAGGATGGACAGCCAAAGATGTAGGTTAATAGTAGAGCACATGCCATACCCAGGCCCCTCCATTCCACCCCCAGCACCACCAAAAATAAAAAAGCCAGCCAGCCTTCTTCTGGTACATTTGAATCGCTGGCTCTATTATTTCCATAGATACACTTGTTCTCTGTCTGGTCTAGGGTCTGCAGGTGACTGAGCTTCAGTTGGTTGTGTAACAGTGAGAATGGCAATGCTCTCTGAGGTAGTTTACTGGTAAAGTTGAGCTAGAAGTTGAGCCCCCTACCCCCAACCACCCAGGCTATTGCAGCAGCATCCCTCCTCTCTAGGCATCCAGCTACCTATGGGCATATTTCCTGGGTATCACTGGAACTGTGCTTGTCTAGCAGGCACAAATGCAGATCCACCTAGGCCTTACCTGGAAACGGCAGTAACTGCTTAAATTTACTGCTGAGTTTTCTGGTGTTGGCCCTGCTATGAAACCAGAAGGAGCAAGGGAAGGGTTAAGCACATAGGAGATAAATATCAAGGAAACTACCAGACTGTCAGTTTTCCTTCCTGTTTATTACCTTTTGGAAAACAGATTTTGCCTTATTACATTTTTTTTAATTATTGCTATCTGCTTAGAAGCCATGTTGGTTTTAATTTTTACTATAGGCCTGCTTCTGTTTTGCTAAGCTGAGCCACCTGTTTAAAACTCTGCTTGTCTGTTGGATTGAGGAAAGAACTATGCCTATATGTATAAGAGTTTTCCACAGTGAAGTAAGATGTTCAGTGATTAGATTTCCCAAGGCTCAGTAGTCAAGAGCCTTCTCATCCTGGACATTGCTTCCCCACGAGGCCACAGCAGGGGCTGCCTCCCAGTCCAGCCATCACTGTTCTAAGGGCACTGCAGAGAATGGGGATTCTAAGGGCAGAGTCAGAGAATGGAGATTCATACTTCTGTCCCTTTGTTTCCACTGCTGACTCGTTTGTTTCCCTTGTTTAAAAATACTATTCAGTGACTGAGGATTTTTTTAAATCTTGCCCTGCCTCTTAGGGAATCTGTCCCAAATCCCAACTTTGTAGAGTTCATGCATGTCTTGATCAGTAGATCTTTGAGGACTGCTGAATGAATGGAAAGAGAATTTGTGACACATAGGCACCAAATAAAGTGATGGTGTGGCACTGAAGTAAAAGCACATCTCAGTCTGACTCTCACATCAAGATCTCAGGCCCATTCTGTTAGCTTTTGCCTCATTTTCTCATTTCCCCAAACAGATGTTTGCAACCTCGCAATAAGTCACATAAAAGTTTAGGAATCAATCTTTTAGTTAAAACTGAAGACAATGTCTAGTCAGCTTTTATAAGGCCAGTCAAAACATTTCTGCCTTTGTAGTCTAATGGAAAAAGCACCCTTGCTAGTAGCTAGCTGATAACTCATTAAACACTCTGTCTTCACCTACAGGGAAAAGGACAAGATGCTGAAGGCACTAAGGGAAGACTTTCTAAATTCTTTTTGCCAAAGACATTAAAGATCTTAAGTGGCCAACAGTTTTCTTTCTAAATAAATGACTTCATTATTTCAGAGTCTGTGATTCCAATTTATCCATCCATCTACTCATCATCGCAGCAAAGTTCTGTGCCCTCATGTGAAAAATTCAGCTGAATCCCCACTGCTCAAACAGTCCTAGACTCCATCTGGGTTAGACTGCATCTGGTTTAGACATGTTCCCTCCACAGAGGTCTATGGTCCCTGAGTGCTTGCTTTATAGAAACATCAGTCAGGTGATCAGTCCACACATATGTAAACACTTATCACATTGAGTTTTCTTTTTCTTATTTTGTAGACTTTATAGATAAGTATTCAGTCAGTCTTATTTTAAATTGAAGACCTTTCCTCATAGTTTCTGAAGTACTCATTCTTAAACAAGTGTTGGCAGATTCCTCTGAAAACACTACCTTTTTCCATACTGGGCACTTCACAGCTTTTGCTCTGCCTATTAATTATGACACTCTTGTTTACAAAAGTGGGTTGTTTTTTTTTCCCAAAGCTTACTGCAGAAAAGGAAAATCCATAGCAATCTCAGGTTTCTTCCATCAAGTAAGGCACAGATTCCCACTTGCACAATTTTTAGCAAGTTTCTATTTCAGTCCTCCAAACTGCACTTCTTTTTCATTTTCTAAAAGCTTTCTCGATCCTGGTACAATATGCCTGTGTTGTTGGAGAGTGAGGAAGCGGTGTTCCAGTACCCAGCAGGGAGTCAGCACTCTACTCTAGTGATGCTTTGAGCCTTGTACAAAGCACTAGCTGAGGTAGTGGAAGGCCTCTCCCCGTGGAGTTCCTTACTTCTCTTTGGAGGTTCCCAAGGTTCCACTGGGAACACTGGGAATACCATGGAACCATTACACAGCAAGCTTGCCCTACTGGGCACTTCAAGGCTTTTGTTCTACCTATTAATTATGACACTCTTGTTTACAAAAGAACTGGGTTGTTTTTTTTTTCCACTGAATCTGATAACAATAATTACTGAAGAATTAATTGTTTTGTTTTGTTTTTTATTTTATGTTTATAAACATTTTGCCTACGTGTATTTGAGTTCACCATGTATGTGTAACGCCTACCCAGGTCAGAAGTGGGTGTCAGATCCCCTGGAACTGGAGTTACAGAAGGTTGTGAGCTGCCATGTGGGTGCTAGAAACTGAACCAACCAGCCAGTGCTCTTAACCACTGAGGCCTAAGTTTTGTTTTTTTTACCTTACCAAATTGGTGACCACTGTTTTGTTTTATTTTGTTTTTGAGACAGTTTCCCTGTAGCCCCAGCTGGCCGGAATTCTCTTTGGAGACCAGGCTGGCCTCAATCTCACAGAGATCTGCCTGCCTCTGCATACACTACCACACCTGGCCTGTGACCACTTTTTCAGAAACCACTGACATTGTAGTTAACTTAAATGCTCATTAACAAGCCCAGAACTAATAGTTACATTGTCCTAATTTGACAAAGCCATATAAATCTGTACATATTTCTTTGAACACTCTATAAAGATGCTGCTTAATCCCCCCAAAAGCCCCTAACCTGCTTTGGTGCCATTAGCCCAGTGTAAGCAGAGGAACCTTTGCGGTAAATGAACGAACACTGGTAAATGAAGGAACACCACATGCTGAAGGTCGGGTGGATGTGCTTCAGCTGGCCTTTTTATAGATAAAAAGTTCAGTCACTTTTCCCTATTGTCCTGTAAATGACGTCTCTTTCATCCCTCAGGCTCTTCACCATAGCAGTAAGCCTTGAAATGATAGAACTGAACCTGCTTCTACTATCTGAGAGCTTAACACATTTCATGATTCAGCTTCTTCCCCTTGTTCCTACTTTCAGTCCCTCTACTTCAGTTCTGCCTTTTCCCCAGATTTCTAGTTCTCCCAGCTTTCTTCCCTAAGTAAACAGAATCCACTTCTCCAAAGACACCCCACTCGACTATTCCCAGGAGTTAATAACTCACAAGACACAGGCATACAAAGGTTGAAAGGAATGTGCAAATTCTATGCTGTAGCAAGGGGCTCTGATGAGCAGAGCCTTGTTTGTGCTTGGCTGTGCTCTCCTGCACTCTCCTGGCAGCACACAGGTAGCTTGTCCTTGGCCATCCTGTGTTAGAAATGTATACAGTTAACAGCAAATGCACGTGAAGAGCAAGTGTGCCTCTCATGCATCTTTGCTGGTTCCGAGTTGCTTTGGAAAGAAGGGGAAAAAAAAGACAACTCTGTGTGGTTACTTTTTCCGTTTTATTTTGGGGGGGTGGTCTTTTTTTTTTTTTTGAGACAGGGTCTCCCTGCAGCCCCAGCTGGCCTGGAACTCACTATGTAGACCAGGCTGGCCTTGAACTCACAGAGACCTGCCTGCCTCTGCCTCCCCGAGGGCTGGGATTAAAGGTGTGCGCCACCACGCCCTGCTTACTTTTTCCTTTTAAAACTAAAGTAGAGGGCTTGCCTTGGATATATGAGGGAAGGCCCTGGGTCCATCCCTAGCATTAAAAAAGAAAATGAAATTCCACAGTGCCACAGTGATGTGCTTATTACATAGAAGTCATACCATAGATAAGTTGTGAATATATGTCTCTACAAAGGAATGTTGATTGTTTTCTCCATCCTGCTTGTTCCATTTCAGATCATAGCTGTCTGCAGAGAGGCTGCTCTCCTGGCCCTGGAAGAAGACATTAAAGCTGACTGCATTATGAAGAGGCATTTCACTCAAGCCTTGAGTATTGTGACACCTAGAATCTCAGAATCACTGAGACGCTTTTATGAAGATTACCAAGAAAATAGCAGGCTACACATTCTCTGAGAGATCTATGCTACTCATATACTAAAATGTTTTCTAGAGAAAAATTCATTTTCAGATTTTTTTCTTGAGAGTGTTTACAATACTTTAAAGGTAAAATGTTTGAAATATTTTTACTAGAATTGAAGAGCTTCAACTGAATGTTTTGCATTATTTGAGTACAATAAACATATCATTGGGCATCAGTTTAAACCAGTTTTAACATTTGATTTTCAAGAACATCCATTCACTCCTTGAATGAGTTTCTTACTTGTCAGTGCCAGACCTGTAGAAGTCTTTTCTGTCCAACATGAAACAAGTATGTGCATAAAGACACCATGAGCAGCATCCATGGTTCTTTTTATTAAAGGCTGGGTTTCATGTAGCCCTGGCTGGCCTTCATCTCTGTGTAACTGAGGATGACCTTGAACTTCTGGTTCTCCACCTCCTGAATGCTGGGATTATAGTTATATACTACTACATCCAGATTATGTAGTGCTGAAAATTGAACCCAGGGCCTGGTGCATGCTAGGGCAAGTACTCTACCAACTGAGCCAAACCCCATGCCCCAAATCTGTACTTTGAAAGGCTAGTCAGGATTGTGTGGCCTTGTTTCCAAATATATGTTTGTTCTCATTATTACTGGCACCTGCATTCATGGCCAGAAAGTATTATGTTAGCACATGTAATACAGTGTCTTTTGAAGGGTTAAAAACTTTTTTACGTGTAGACCCAGTTTGAGCCCAAAAGAGGAACCTTGCTTTTTTTCCTAAGATGATGCAAAGAAATTATAAAAAGTATTATTGTTTTAATCTCTGCATATTTTCAAGTTACCAGTAAGCCTTTCGGGTAAACAAAACAAAACAAAACAAAAAAATACCCTAAAAAACAAATAGGACTAGTGAAGTGGTTCATCCGGTAAAGACATATGCCATCAAGCCTGAAAACCTGAACCTGATCCCTGGGACCCACATGGAGGAAGAGAGAACCAACTGCAAGTTGTCCTTTGACCTCCATCTGCATGTACTAGTCAGAGTTCTCTGGAGAAACAGAACTGACAGAATGAATATGTATTAAAATAACTTATTAATGAGCTTACTTTGAAATAGTCACAACAGTTAAATCATATCTGAGAGACTGAGATTCTGGTAGTTGCTCTGTCCTTGAGGCTGGGTGGGTGCCTCAGCAGCCTGAGTAGTCACACAGTGGCAGTCTCACACTGTAGAGGATTGAGACCCTCCTGTATAAAAGGTGCACAGTTTAGGGGCTGGAGAGATGACTCAGTGGTTAAGAGCAGTAACTGTTATTAGAAGTCCTGGGTTTGAATCCTAGCACCCACATGGCAGCTAACAGCTGTCTGTAACTCCAGTTCCAGGGGATCTGAGGCCCTCTTCTGACTTCCATGAGTACTGCATGACACGGGTGCACTAACACATATGCAGGCAATACACTCATACACATAAAAATAAATATGTGATTTTTTTTTTTTTTTAAGTTGCACAGTTTAGAGGACTGGAGTCTTAGAAGTCCCAATCTGGTGGTGAAAACCCAGAGGGTTCCTGAAGAACCACCGGTCCCTAGTCAATGATAGAAGCCTGGAAATGCTGGCTTCCGTGTTAGTGAAACAGCAAGCAGCAGCAGCTACAGAATAAATTAAGTCTTCAAAGAGAGGGCAAGGCCAAACAAACGAAAGACAAATAATCTTCCCTCTGTCTTGCCCCTTTTTACCTGAAGGTGTGGCCTACAATTGGGGTGACTCTTCCCTGTATCAGTTAAGACATTCAGGACAGTTCAGGTGAGGCTCCCTACTCAGGTGATTCTAATTTGTGGCAAGTTGCCATTAAAGCCATCATAGCACATACAAATAAATTTTAGATAACAAAACAATTTACTCAATATTATATTATGTTGCAGTCTATATGTATTTATGCTTCTAGTTATATATCCTCTGGATTCCTTGATGTTTTCATTCTTCGCAAATACCCCTACAAAGAAGTTCTTGATCCCCTAGTTTCCAAATCAGAACCTGGTAATGGAAAGAATGTGTGCTTAAACTTGGTAACTCCCCAGAAAGGCAAGTCAGAGAATCCTGATCATCACAGTAACAGGCTGTAGGTTCTGTGGTTAAAGATACTCCCACATTACATGCAGCTATTACATCCTGTAACTGTTAGAGAAGACTTGCAAGATAGCATTAGTTCACTGGCACATAAAACTACCACATGGAATGAAGAATATTACTATTTAGAACTGTGTTGTCTGGGGCTGGAGAGATGGCTCGGCAGTTAAGAGCACTTATTACTCTTGCGGAGGACTTGAGTTCAATTCCCATCACCCATATGGTAGCTAACAACCACCCATAACTCCAGTTCCAGAGCATCTGATGCCTTCTTCTGACCTCTGCGGGCATTGCACGACATGGGTGAACTTACATGCAGGCAATACACTCATACACATAAAAAATAAAAATAGCCGGACATGGTGGTGCACGCCTTTAATCCCAGCACTTGGGAGGCAGAGGCAGGTGGATCTTTGTGAGTTTGAGGCCAGCCTGGTCTACATAGTGAGTTCTAGGACAGCTGGGGCTACAAGGAGACCCTGTCTCAAAAAAGACAAAAATAAATTAAAAAATGAATAAATAAATAATTTTTAAGAGAACTGTGTTGTCAAATATAATAATGATTGTATTTGTTTAAATTATGTGAAATAATACCAAAACATTTACCAGACACATTAGCCACACTTCAGATATGATGGGTCCACATTGGACAGAAAGTTTGTTTCTCACTGCTAACTCACAGAATGAGACTTAGAACTGTACGGCATGGTTATAACCTGCAGTCCTAGCACTGGGAGAGTAGAGATAGAGGATTAGGAGTTTAAGACCAGCCTGGGCTACACAAGACTGTTGCCAGGGGGGAAAAGGTAAAAGAAATTAGACTTACACATTGGGATAAATAGAACCTCAAAAATACTTTTGTACTGCCCATTTTCATTTTACTTATAAAGAAAATTGTGCCTGCCATAGTACCACATACGTTTTCTTTTTTTAAGTTCCTTATGTGTTCTGGATCTTTTGGAGTCTATTTTAATGTTTCCCCTTTCATCTCTGATTTTGTTGACTTAGATTTGCTCGTTCTTTGGTTAACTAGGCTAAAGTCTATCTTGTTTATATTTTGAGAGGATCAGCTCTTAGAGTCATTGATTCTTTGATTGATTTCTTTGTTTCTATTTCATTAATTTCTGCTCTGGTTTTTGTTATTTCTTCTCACTTGCTGGGTTTGGGTTTGGGTTTGGGTTTGGTTTGTTACTGCCTTTCCAGAGCCTTGAGTTGATGAGTCATATGTGCTTTCTCTGATTTTTTTTTTTTTTTTTTAATGTAGGCACCTGGAGCTATAAACTTCTCTTTTAGGACACTTAAAAAAGTGTCACATAGGTTTTGTGGTGTTGTATTATCATTTTCTTACAGTTCCAGAAATACTTTTTTTTCTAATTTCTTCAAAAATATTTATTACTTCAATTTTATGTGTATGAATGTATTGCCTGCATGTGTGTAAGTGCATCTGTGTCATGTAATACTCAAGTGAGAAGAGTATTGGATCCCCTGGAACTGGAGTTATAGACCGTTGTTAGCCATCATGTGAGTACTGGGAATCAAACCCAGGTCCTCTGCAAAAACAGTGCTCTTAACCACTAAGCTATCTCTCCAGCCCCTCTTAATTTCTTCTTTGACCCATTCATCACTCAGGAGTCTGTTATATAATCTCCATGAGTATGTGTAGTTACTAGAGCTTCCTTTGCTCACCTACTATTACTGAGTTTAAGCCCTTGTCTCAAAAAAGAGAAAGAAAATTGTGGAAAGGACCACTCAGAACACCATAAAATAAGAGAAAGACTTATCTCCAAAGTTCAGGCAAGGAAATGAAAATACCTTTCCCAATTAAAAAATGGAACAGTAAACTTGACTTGATGGGGGTTGGGGGTTCAGGTGGCTGAGGATGGTGATGTTGGCCAATCCTTTAAGGGGTTTGGACATTACTATATGGGAAGCAGTAACTGAGCCTCAGCTTCACACATTGCCCAGTCTTGGCCATCATGCCCTTGGTATAGGTAGATGAGAGGTTCTGGCAGAAAAGACCACAGGAATCTCACACTTGGCCTACACTTTGGATTTTAAAGAGGTCTTTTAGGAATTGTGAGTATAGACTAACCTACAGCTTTGGAGTTCGAATCCACACTGCCTTCAAATTAACAAAACCTAGAAATCAACACAAAAGAATGAATCCAAGCAAGAAATGTCTTTGAGGTGACTAGTAGCTGCACCCTAGCTATGGAGAATTCCAAGCAGCTAGTAGTCTACTTGGAAAGAATTTAATCTACAAGGATAAGGAGCAGGGGACCCTTGGACTCTGCCATAGAAAGTCCTATAGCCATTTCGGAAAGCAATCTTATATTCTCCTCCCAGGAGGATATGGTGACTTGGAGACTGAGTTCATAGACCATTAAGAAACGAGTAAAATATCTCAGTAAGAGAATGAATTTAATAGGTTTAAAGGAATAGTCATGCAGTAGAACAGAACACAGTAGTTGAGAATTAGAGGTACATACAAAACAGGGATGGAACACAAAGCTGATCAGAAGAAACATCTTAGAAGAATGTACAAGATTCAAAGCATGAGTTGTAAGCTAGCTTGGACACACACCGCCTGATGTCTGTTTAGTTGCTTCTATAGCTCAAAAAAACAAAATCTTATGTGGAAACGAGTACTTTAATTCTGATATTCAGTATTAGAATTATTACATCTTGACTTCAAAAACTAAAGTGTGGAAAACATACATATCAGTTGATGGGGCCTGGAGAGATGGCTCAGCGATTAAGAGCACTGGTTCTTGCAGAAAACTTTGAATTCCAGCATCCACATGGCAGCTAACAACATTCCATAACTCCAGTTCCAGGAGATCCAATGCCCTCTTCTGTCCTCTGCGTCCCCTCTGGCACTGCATGGTACAGGTGCACTTACATGCATGCAAGCATAACACTCATAAAGTAAACATAATATTTAAAAAAATCAGTTGAATGCCTGCTCGGCCGGCCAGGGGGAAATGTTGCTTACATCCCCTCCCCTTGCTGCTAGCACTGGCTTCCTTCCCTGGTCACAGAGACCTGGTCCTGCCTTTTGCGTCCGCAGGACTACTTCCTCCAGAACTTCCCTGTGGACCTGTGCGAAAGGTGGGCCATTAATTCAGACAGAGAGGAGCCAAAACCCCAGGGCTGATGTTAAATGCTTTGCTGCAGATAGGGAAAAGAACCACCAAAGGGAGTGATGATCAGTGATCTGTGCTCAGTCTGGGTATTAGTGCTCATGCCTCAGAACACCTGTCAGAACATTGTGCCAACTTCTGGGACCAGCCTTTCATACACTTAGTTTGAAAGTGTATGAACTGCTGAACTGAACTGCTCTTTGCCTGAACTGCTAAAGCTAGCTAACCACGAATGGCTACCCAAAGGAAACACTTGTTGAAAGATTTCAATCCTTACATCACCTGCTGTATCTGTAAAGTGTATCTGATCAAGCCAACAATAACAGAATGCCTCCATACCTTCTGTAAGACCTGTATGGTCCAGCACTTTGAAGATAGAAATGATTGTCCAAGGTGTGGCAACCAAGTTCATGAAACAAATCCATTAGAAATGTTGAGACTGGATAACACACTAGAGAAAATTACATTTAAGCTGGTATCTGGACTTGGAGAGTAAGAACTTGAGTGTGAATCTGAATTTTGGAAGAAAAATAAACCAAGAAAATGGACAAGATGACACTTCAAAAGCTGACAGAACTAAAGCAGATGAAGCTGATGGAAGCCAAGATGACAAGGACTGTCATAGAAGTGACCCAAAAATTGCTGTCTGTCTAGATTGTTTACAAAATAACGGCCAATCAGGGGACAATGTAGTTAAGGGTCTAAGGAAGAAATCCATCCAATATTCTCCATGTGTTACTGTAGTAACTATTAGAAAATTTCTATGTTTAAAACTAAAACTTCCAAGTTCTTATGAGTTGAATGTCCTGTGCAGTGGTGAAATTATGGGGAATTCATCTATATGGCAAGATGGCAGCTAAGAGAAAATTTTCAGTGTCTGAACTGCTCAGTCAGCCTCACAAGTCTGCACTCAGGATGGCCCTTTGTATCAGTCATACCCTGTTAGGTATTGCAGTAACAGCCAAGAATTGATTTTGGGTAGACCCAGGGGCCTAGATTTCACTGAAATGAATCCTGCACTATTTGTTTACTCGTCGACAGATTGCAC